TGGTGGTGTCTTCGCCTGGTTTTGGTATCAGGGTGATGGTGGCTTCATAGAATGAGTTTGGGAGTATTCCCTTCTTTTCAGTCTTCTGGAAGAGTTTGAGAAGGACTGGTACGAGTACTTCTTTGTATGTTTGGTAGAATTCCCCGGTGAAGCTGTCCGGTCCTGGACTTTTATTTGTAGGGAGGTTTTTTATTGCTAATTCGATTTCATTTCTAGTGATCGGTTTGTTCAATTGGTCAGCTTCTTCTTGGTTCAGTCTTGGTGGACTGTATGTTTCCAGAAACTTGTCCATCTCCTCTAGGTTATCCATTTTGGTTCCATATAGTTTTTCATAATATTCTCATATCATATTCTGTATTTCAATGTTATTTGTTGTAATTTCTCCATTTTCCTTTCTTATTTTGCTTATTTGTGCTCTCTCTTTTTTCTTCTTTGTGAGTTTGGCCAAAGGTTTGTCAATTTTATTTACTCTTTCAAAAAAACCAGCTTTTGGTCTGATTGATTTTTTCTATGGTCTTTTTAATGTCTATTTTATTTATTTCCTCCCTAATCTTAATTATTTCCTTCCTTCTGCTGACTTTTGGGGTTTTTTGCTCTTCTTTTTCTAGTTCTTTTAGCTAGTAGGTTATATTGTTTACTTGAGATTGTTCTTTTTTAAGGAAGGCCTGTATCGCTATAAACTTCCCTTTTAGCACTGCTGGTTTCTTTCATCCAGAGTAATTATTTGATTTTCATCCATGTTGTAGTCAACAAAAGTTTAGAGTTGATGTGCTATTATTTCTTCTTTAAATATTTTATAAAATACACCATTGAAGCCATCTGGGCTTGGGATTTTCTTTGTACAAATGCTTCTAACCACACATTCAATTTCCATGGTAGCTGTAGGGCCATGTAGGTTATCTATTCCTACTCGATAAGCTTTTATAGTTTATATCTTTCAAGGAGTTTGTCCATTTCATGTAAGTCAAACCGAAATCCCTGACTCCCCGAAACTGTGAGATAATAAATGTTTCCCTTTTTAATCTGCTGAATTTGGGGGTAATTTTCTGAATAGCAATTTCTTACTAATGTAGTTCATCTGAAAATTGTTGCTTTCCGTTCTTTTCATTCTTCTTGCCATAAATTAATGTCATCATTAGGGTAAATTTTAAATGATTGAGAGAAAAATATTTTGATATATGCTCAATGTACTTAAGAAAATAATTACTCTGAGCACAGCAGAACAACATTTAACAATAGAAGAACCATTAATTATTAACCCCAATTGCTCACTTCTGGTTTCACTGTTAATAGCCAGCTTCTCAGTCCTTTCCTCAGGCTGTCAGATGATACCTGGCTTTAAAATTAACACTTTAGAAGCAATTCGTATTTCACTGGCTCTGAGACACCATTAACTGTAAGATGCCTCAAAATTTTAGATAGGTACAATATGAAAAATATTTATCTTAGAAATAATTAAATATGGTTTATCCTTATAGATAGGCATGGGGGGGTTCCAATTTAAGTGCTTTAAGAATTTAGGAAAATATTTAGCTCACAAATTTTTAAATTTCAGAGATC